TGGCATAATTTTGTATATATTTAATATTATATATTATATATCTACAATATATATATTTATCAATGTCAACATTTAGTTCAAGTCTAAGTTGTCGGCTATATAAAAGCACTAGCTTAAATTGCAATGAAAAAAAAAAATATAGAAAAACAAACAAAACACACATGAACAGGCGAGTGAACAAATGAAAGAGAGCAAGGTTAGCATTGACATTAATACCAAAAAAGTCAGTTAGTCAGTTAGTCAGTCAGTCAGTCAGTCGTTCTGTTGGCCAGGCTAAAAGGCGAATTGAAAATACACATAAAAGCTGCATTAGAACAAGCAACAAATCCGCAGCAGCGAATAAATAAAAGCAACTGTAATTAGCAGCTGCACAAAACGTAGCACATGTCAGCTAAGCAGCCATTTGTTTGTAACTGTGTATGATGCACAGAGAGAAAAAATATATATAAATAATCAAGAACATAAAAATGTATATTAATTAATACAAATTTATATAAATTTTTTTGTTTAAAAGTCTTTACTTAAATAGGTACAAAACACATCTAACTTTGGGCTAAGTTTTTTACTACAAGTTCAAGGGAAAAGCTTCACAATAATGCCTCAAACATCTCAAAATAAATTATTTAAAATTTATTTTTAATTAAATTTGAGTATTTTTGTTAGAATAATATTCTTTTGGTGTAACAAAAATGTTTGCTGTCGTGCTAAGCGCATTCGCACATACCGGACAAGCATATATCCCATGCGGTTTGCAATTTAAGACGCTTCAAGTCGAAGGCCCTGAGTGGTTGCCAACGTTAACTTTTAACGTTAACTTGATGATGACGAACAGCGATATCTTACATACTAAAAACAAAAAAAAAAAAAAAAAAAAAAACACTAAATGCTTAAGCAACATTTAGCAGCAGAAACAAACCATAATTCGCTGCAGTTTCGACCTTGAAAATTAAGTAGCAGCAGCAAGAAATAGGTACTAAATAATATGGAAAATCTATAAAAATATGCTAAGATATTAAATAAAAAATGTAACTAAAATATATAATAAAAATTCAGAGCTTTAAAAGTTAGAAAGATGTATTTAATAACAATAACTAACAGAAGACTTTAGAACTTTAACTTTCCACTTCAAACAAAAGACTTAAGCAACAAACTTGAACAAAAAATAAAACTACAACCATAAAATCCAGGAAACAGCAACAAAATGTACCCAAATGTACCCAAAATTACCCCAAAAGAACCCAAGCAACAAAACACCTAAAAATGTAATTAAGTTAAACGAAATTATTTTGTTAACGCGTCGGCAATTCATAATTCATATACTTAATATTATATATGGACCCCAAACATATACGATATATCTTTATATATATATTTTTTTTTTCGTATATGTATAACAAAGCGGGGCAATCAAGATGGGCAGATTTTGAGGATCGATAAAACTTAATTGCAAGGCACTTAATGCATTTTAAGTTTTGCGGCCAACGAAATGAGAAGGTAACCCGAGACGAGTAGGAAGGGAACCCTAATAAAGACCTTGGAACTGGTCTCAAACCTGGAATACCCTTAGAAATCGAACTATCAACGGCAGCAACAGCAGCTGAAGAAACCCAAAAAAAATATACATATACATATATATAAAAAAGAAGATACGAATAACCGAAAGTCAAATTGGGCGTTAGAGACAAATTCATTTAAGAGGCAAGAGGCAAGGCAACAGGGACCATAAATTTATAGACTGTCCCGAGGGTCAAGATACAAAAAAAAAAACCACAGAAAAAACTATATCCGATCCGATCGGATCGTGTTGCAAATGGGCTGGCACAACACTTGGTCCCTTGGCTTAAAGCCTGTTGGCATTAGAATTGCTAAATGCTACAAGGAGCCATTAAAAAAAGGGTTTCGCGATCCCTTGTTTAAGCTTTTACACTACACTACATAATTTGTAAGGGAGCGAGGATCGCACATTAGGTCATTTGGTCAGGACCCAAAAACAGGATCAAAAGGAAAGAGGAAGGAAAAAGAGGAAAGAAAAAGGGTTCGATTCGGGGGAAAGGCAAGAAAAGCACCTGTTAGAAGCTTGCCACTTCCTTTCTACTGCCTTCAAACGGATGCATTCATCAATTTGGCAGGAGATCGCGGAACAGGATGCTTCCTGCCTTCCTTAGTGCCTTCCTGCCGCTTTTTGACAAGGGTTTTCTCTTGGGTCTGCATCTGCTATTTGCCAAAGGTGTTCCTTCTATTTGCCGTCTTTGTTCCGGCTTTGTATATATTTATTTCAGCTCTTTTTTTCTGTATTTATTTTAGAATTTGGTAAATTTGGTTTTTTATTTAATGCAGGACAAAGGATGTTTGTGGCACTTGTCAGTTAGTGAGGAAATTGATTGGCTGCCTGTCGGCTAATCGATGACACTCTCAATCGCATCTCTTGCATACAATTTCCATCTCATTTTCCTCTGCCCCAAAAATGGGGAAACGTTCGTTTTTCATGCTCTATTAAATTCGGTTCGACATTTGCAATAGCTTTTTGTATTTTATTTGTCAAAATAGTATCATTTATTTGTTTATATTTTGCGAAAGCAAAAGCAGCTGATTGCTGAGGTGAATCGATGGGGATTTAAAGTGGGTCACCCTAGAGTTGCTTAAAAAGTTCATGGATAAACTGCGACATTATGGTTAATTACTTTATATTTATTTTGTAATTATTTTCCAAGAGAATGAACAATCTTTAAGAATTGTTTTTGTACAAAAACAAAACGTATACAAAATTGAAACCGTTTGCCTCGAAAGACTTTATCCTCATGCTCCTAGCTTAAAATTTAGTGACCATCCCTGCTTCAAGATAAGAAAACTTGCTTTTAAATTGGAAAATATTATCAAATTCTATAGCAAATCTTATAACCACTATTTAATTTCATATAACATTCAATATTCCCTTGACTAGAGTTAAAAGAAACTTTTGATCTTCATAAGATCTTGTAACCATTTGCCAATGTCGCCTATCTGACTGATTCAATCAACAATATATATATGTATATTTACCTATATTTTGCTGACACTATTTAATGTTTAAACAATAGCCAATCAAGAGAACAGCACCTGTTGCAGTGTCTCTAAGCCAAGTTATTGATATTGAGGTTAATATGATCTGCAGGCGATTATATCAATGATAATAATGATGATCATCGCCCTACGATCTAAAGTTTGACTCTGGATCTAGCCATTGTTTGGCTAACTCTATATATATTTATACATATATACAGATATATCTGTATATATAGGTACAACCTAGTGTTTGTATATGGGCAGAGCTGCTTGGAGACTTGGAAAAACGCTGCCGCCTCTGTCAACGTGTTTGGCATTTGCAATTAGACACACAACCAAGGGGTGGAGAGGGTGGAAAAAAATACAAAAATACAACAAAAATTAAACAAAACGTATAGAGAGATGGAGAGAAACAAAACGACAAAACAAGCCCCGAAGAAGCACAAAACCAAGAAGGAGAAGGTTGGCTCAAAAGGGGGAGGTGCCGTCATCATTGTCGTGCATGCCAGGAATTCAATATGCGATAAGTTCAGAATGCGTTTGGAATTTGACTAAAGTTCTCCGTTTCTAAGTACAAAAAATAGGCGAAAAAAATTACTAGCAAATAGTAAAATAGTTAGGGAAATATAAAATCAAGAAAACTAAACAAAATTCAAATTAAAACTAAGAATAAACAAAGCTTCTACTAAGAAATTCAAAATATTCTAGGTCAATATTTCAAATATATGTATTTATGTTTAAATTATATTTATTTATTATTTAATTAAATTATTTTTAAACAATTTACTTTAAATTATAAGCCCTTAAAGATTTATAATTTTCTATATTTTTTAAAGATATTTTTTCTTGTGTAAAAGTCAAGTTTTTTTAGCTTAATGAATTTTATTTGTATTCCATTTGTTATCGTTTTGTTTTTGTTATTGTTTTTGCTGTTGTTACTGCCCTTGCCTTTTTCTGTAGTTTTCCATAAACAACAAGTTAAAACGCCCATGGCAAAAAATAAAAAAAGGGTTAAGTAAGGGACACAGGGGATAGGTAAGGGCCATTTATATATACACCTTATACCCACTTGAGGCTCGTGGGCGTAGCGATAATTTACAATTTATATCAACACAAACACGCTTTTACTCAGGTGACACCCGCATTGCCACAAAATACCACCACAAACTACTATATATAAATATATTTTAAAATAAAAAGAAAATTCAAAGACTTGTTCTTAAAACCCTTCAATATTTTCTATAATTTCTTAAAGAATTTAGTACTTGAAACTTTTTCAACACTTTAATACTAACTCAAATAAGACCCTTTGAAATTTGTAATTGTTTTTGGAAATTCCCATCAAATAAATAAGAAAAACAACCTGGGGTTCATCTACCCGATTAGCTGGCACGCCCGTAAAAAATATAAATAAATAAAAAAAACAACCAGAGGGCGCGAAAAAAATAAAAAATATATTACGAATTCTAGACGACAAACTTCAACGGATCGGTTGGTAGCTTCGCATTGCTGTCTTTGTCGTGCACAATTTACATATATCTAGTATAGTTAAATACACAGCAAGAAATTGTCAAGTTTTAACATTTTCATAATTATTTTAAACATTTTAAAATATTCTACAAATTGGGAATTTAATTTGTTGCTTGGTTATTATAGAAAATCGAATATTAATGTTACCATATTTATTTTGAAATATTTTTAGATTTTCTAGTATAGTTAAATACACGGCAAGAAATTATACAGGATTTTTATTTTTAAAATTATTTTAAAATATTTTAAAATATTCCACAAATCGGGAATTTAATTTGTAGCTTGGTTATTATAGAAAATCGAATATTAATGTTACCATATTTATTTTGAAATATTTTTAGATTTTCTTTAAACCAAAGATATATTTTCCATTTAAAATTTCCAATTATTTTCAATTTAAATATCATAAAATCTATATATTTACATACCTTGATTGGTAGACATCTTAAGCATCTTTGTATTAGTTTATTCTTCATTTCAAATTTTATTTATAGTTTATTCTTCATTTCAATTATTATTCTTGTATATTTTTTTCATTCACTTAAAAAAAATTAAAAAAATAAAAAAAAAATGCTTGGAATTATGATTCCAAATATATATAGATATATCTTATATATCTTGATTAATGCACAACACTCACACACACACACAATAATATTAAAAAACACTACTTTTACTTAATTCCACTCACTTGAAAATAAACTTACACACATTGGAAATATTAGCACGGCTTTAGTTGATGCTTTCTTTGACATCTTTTCGTTCAGTGTTCAAAGTGATTTCGTTTTATTTGTACAAGTACTTTTTTCTCTCCGTTGTGCTTTTGACTTTTTTACTGATGCTATGTGCTCTTTTTTTATTTAGATATATCCATCGTATATAGTATGTATATATTTTTCTGTGCGTTTTTACGACGCATTTTGCGCTAGACAAAATCGCTGGAAGCCGCCGAGGGGGAGCGGTATAAATTTAAAGGTTCACCGTATGTTAATCAATTTACGGTAAAGGATAAAGCGTCCATTGAACCCTGCGAAAGAGATAGATAGAAAGAGAGAGTGAGATAGAGATGGGATGAGATTCGGTGTAATTAGTAAATTGCCCTTACAGCTTAGCTAGAAAAATTCTAATTGCCAGCGGTAAAAAAACTGCTTTTGTTGTTGTTTTTCCTCGCTTTACCTTTTGTTTTAATTGCTGTTAGCTCGAGGTCAATGTTTGTGTTTTTTTTTATTGTACAACTTCAATTGAAATTCATTTCCTCATGGCAGCAACACAAAAAATAAAAAATAAAGAAATATACACATGCCTTTTTCGCATTTCATTTTCAAGCTCGACCACAACAAAACAAGCAAAACTCAAGCTCAAACATGTTTGGCGAGCAATGTGTGTGTTGGTGTGTGTTGTTGTAATTATAAACATTTTACAACTCGCCTTGACCTTAACACAATAAAATAAATTACAACTATGGCAATATACAAATGCAGGCTTTGTAACATGTAGAACGAATGTAGAATCGATATGGGCGTGTAAAAAGCGTGCGCATAATAACGAGTAACTAGTATCTTGAAACCAACAAGAAGAATACTTAGAAACAAGAATTTGTAAACTAATTAGCCTGCTAAAAATAATTCATAAAATAGTAACTAGTTCTGGAGAACTATTTACTTACAACTATTAACTAATAACAATTAACTAGCAACTAGAAACATTAATAATTTTAATACAAAAAATTAGTAAATTTGAGTATTTGTAATTTTTAAACCTTTTTATATTAATAAAAATAAAAATATTTTAATTTTTCAATAATTTTATCAGTTATATAGTTTTTTACTGATATTTTTCTGGCAGTGTAATGTTTGCCTTTGGCATGTGGGCGTGGCTTGTCGCTATTAACCCATTAATAAGTAAATGGCATGTCAGACATTTAACAGTCGTTTTGGAGGCGAAATCAAAGGGGGAAATATGCGTTAAATCAGCAAAGTAAACAATCAATTATATACGAATTTACAGGTGAACTTGACTAGCTTGAAAAAAAATTAAAATATGTTTAAAAAGAATTTTAAGGCTTTAAATTAATGAAATTAAAGAGTATAAATGATTACAGAGCGCAATAATGTTACGAAAATGTTAAGATTCAAGGCTGTTAAGTCAACAGCTGTTAACTCTACAGCAGCAGCAAGTGCGAGCGTATGTTTGTTGACAGTTAGAATTTATGCGACAGCGGCTGCGCAGCGACTGCACAGAGACTGCAGCTTGGCCATGACCAACAGAGCGAGATAGCGCATGCGTGCTTGGCATTCGTAATTGCACACCTATGTGTAATTACCCACACACACTCACATACACAAACGAAGGGCTTGAAAAAGACAAGAAATCTAACAACAACAACAACAACGAGCTCACCCACGCTGACAAACATAGATACATACACCCAACAAAAAGCCTTGATCTTGATCGGAAACGACAACAACAACAACAATAACAAGTTAACTATGCAATGGCACCGCAGCCGTTTGCCGTTGCAGTTGTTGTTGTTGCTGCTTTGCCGTTGCCGTTTTATTTACTGCACTTGTTTTGATTTAAAGCCAAGACAGCTTTTAGTGGCTTACCTTGTCTTTGCCAGTTTTGTCTTTGGGGCACCTCGCACTTGCACTTGCAATTGGCAAAATGGCAATTAAGCGATGGCAATTGTTTAATGGCCATTAAATCAAACACACAATATAAAATAAACAGCGAAAAGAAACGCCTTCAAATGTTTTACTTTTAGAATTAGGTGCACTTCGCCGCTCCCACGCAAGAGGGCGCTTGCGGCATTATAAAGGCAAATAGCAAGTGCAAAGGCAACAGGAGAAAAATTTACAACTTTGATTTTCACTGATTTTACGGATTCCACTTGATGTTTTTTATGAGCCACTTATTTAAAATCGTTATTTGCATTGTATTTTATATTATTTTTGATGATTTGATTAGTTTCTTTATGATTTTCAAATGATTTTTGCGCAGCTCGATCTGACTCGTGTTTCTTGCTCGTGCTTTTTTAATCCAATTGGCTTGCAAGTCGAGAACTCTGCTTTAGTTACAGTTATTCTTCGAACTTTTACAAAGCACACACACACACAAAAGCTCACATGCAGAGATCGCATTCTGCCGAAATTCGGCGCTTCCTTTTACAGTTATTAGGCGAACGGCAAAGCGAGCGGACGATTAAAATTAAAAAAATTATTTGTTTCTTTTCTCGAAAGTTCTCTTTGGTTTAGTTATTGCATATTAAAGTGAATGAATTTAGGTGTTTTTGATTTTTTCCTTATTTCCCCTTCTTGCGGGATATGTGAGTATTTGCATTTGATTAATTTCGATTTTTCCCCTCTTCTCTTTTCCCTTCCATTCTTGCAGAAAACTTTGCTGCCGAATTGTTGCAGCGCCTAAGCAACAACAACACCACTAGCACCAGCACCAGCACCACCACCGAGAGTATTGTTAATAATATTAATAATATTCGCAGTAATAGCCCATCTGTAAAAGCCACCACCTCCGTTTTAGCCACAAAAGACTGCCAAGAAAGCGCCGCAAAAGCAATAGCAGCAGCAGCGATAGCAACAACAACAACAACGGCAAGTAGTAGCATACCAAAGCAGGCGCACAAAGAGGACGACGAAGATAAGGCGGAAGAAGAAGAAGCAGCAGCAGCAGTTGCAGTTGCGAAACATTCAGAAGCAGAGCGAGAAAAGTCGTTAGAAGTAGAAGAAAACAGGGAGCAGGAGGAGGAGGACGACGAGGACGACGAAGACGACGAAGTTGATGTGGGTGTGGAGACACCAACGCGTCCGCGTTTCTACAATTCCGGCGTGGTTTTAACCCAAGCCCAGCGCAAGGAATACCCCAAAGAGCCCATTTCACCTGGAGTTTCCCTCCTCTCCCACCGCCACCGCCGCCGACGCCGCTCCTCGCCAACTTCACCTGCATCTCGTTGCGCTTCCGATTCCGACTCGGATTCGGATGGCGGCTGCAAGCTAATCGTGGACGAGAAGCCACCACTGCCAGTGGATAAACCCCTATCGTTGCGCCTGCGCAGCACACCGCCGCCGGCGGAGAAGCGTCCCAGTCCGCCGCCGCCACGTGACCCGGCGCCTGCCGTCCGCTGTTCGGTTATCCAGCGAGCGCCGCAGGCCCAACAGCAGCAGCAGCAGCAGCAGAGTCAGCCACGTGGATCGTTCCTCCTGCCGCCGCTCGATCAGCTTGGACCGGAGCAGCAGGAGCCCATTGATTATCACGTTCCAAAGCGACGTTCGCCGTCGTACGATTCGGACGAGGAGCTCAACGCCCGACGCCTGGAGCGTGCGCGTCAGGTGCGTGAGGCACGCAGACGTAGCACCATCTTGGCCGCTCGTGTCCTTTTGGCACAGTCGCAGCGCCTGAATCCCCGCCTGGTGCGTTCGCTGCCTGGCATTTTGGCCGCTGCAGCGGGACACGGTCGCAATAGCAGTAGTTCCACCAATCAGGGTTTCCAATCCTCCGGCTTTGGCAGCCAGAGTAGCTCCAGTTCGGGCCAAGGCGGTGCGGGTGGCAATCAGGGCGCCGGCAGTGGTGCAGGTTCGCCGGGAGCGGGCGGCGGCGGCGGCGGCTTTGGTGCCGGAGCCGGTGGCGGCGGTGGCATGGGCGGTGGTCGCGACGGACGCGGCAATTACGGACCCAATTCACCGCCCACTGGAGCACTGCCTCCGTTCTACGAGAGCCTGAAGAGTGGCCAACAGAGCACGGCTAGCAACAACACCGGACAGGGTTCCAACGGCAATCATCATTTCAACGGCAATCCGGCAAATTTCCTTTCCATACAGAACGCCGCTGCGGCAGCGTACATCATGTCGGCGGGCTCCGGTTCCGGTGGTGGTGGATCGACGGCAGGTGGTTCTAATGGAGGCGGTGGTGCAAGTGGTGCAGGTGGTGGTGGCAACACTGGCAGCAGCAACAACAACAACAGCAATGGCTACATCAATTGCGCTGCTGGTGGTAATAATGCGGCCAGCAATCTCGATGGTAATAACCTTTTGAACTTCGCCAGTGTTTCTAACTATAACGAGTCCAATTCCAAATTCCATAATCTTCATCATCATCATCTTCACCATCATCATCACAACAACAACAACAACAACAACAATAATAATAATAATAATAACAACAATGGGCACAACACGCCCACATCAATGATGGGTCATCCATTTTATGGTGGAAATCCCTCAGCCTATGGCATTATCCTGAAGGACGAGCCAGATATTGAGTATGATGAGGCCAAAATCGATATTGGCACCTTTGCCCAGAACATCATTCAGGCCACGATGGGCAGCAGCGGTCAGTTTAATGCCACCGCCTATGAGGATGCCATCATGTCGGATTTGGCAAGCTCGGGACAGTGTCCGAATGGAGCGGTGGATCCGCTACAGTTTACGGCCACGTTGATGCTCAGCTCGCAGACGGATCACCTGCTGGAGCAGCTGTCCGATGCAGTGGATCTGAGCTCCTTCCTGCAGCGCAGCTGTGTGGACGATGAGGTGTCGACTAGTCCGCGTCAGGGTGACTTTGAGCTGGTATCGACGCCCTCGCTGACGCCGGACTCGGTGTCAGTGACGCCCGTAGAGCAGCATGGTGGCTCTGGCGGTGGCTCCAATAGCAATACCGCTCAGCTGGATGCGTTGCACGAGAATCTGCTGACCCAGTTGACGCACAATTTGGCCAGGAATAGCAGCCAGCAGCAGCAGCAGCAGCAGCAGCAGCATGTCCAGCAGCAGCAGCAGCACGTGCAACAGCAGCAACATGTCCAGCATCAGCAACATAATGTGCAGCAGCAACAGCCACCGCCCTCGTATCAGCATGCCACTCGCAACCTGATGATGCAACAGCAGCCGCAGCATGGTGGCTATCAGCAACAGGGCAGCATGTTATCGCAGCAGCAGCAACAGCAGCAGCAGCAGCTTCTAAACCAGCAGCAGTCGCATCATCAGCAACATGCTGCCTACCAGCAACAGCACAACATGTATGCACAACAGCAGCAGCAGCAACATCACCAACATCAGCAGCAGCAGCATCACTTCCACCACCAACAACAGCAGTCGCAGCAGCATCATTCGCATCACCATGGACATCATGACAACAGCAACATGTCCTTGCCCTCGCCAACGGCAGCAGCTGCTGCAGCGGCGGCGGCTGCTGCTGCTGCGGCCGCTGCTGCAGCACATCTGCAGCGACCAATGAGCAGCAGCAGCAGCACTGGCGGTTCCGGCAATAGCAGCAATAGCAGTGCCGCCGGTGGCAGCAACAGCAGCAACAGTGGTGCACAATTGATCGATGCCAATGCGGCGGCGGCAGCAGCAGCCGCTTTGCTGGATACCAAGCCACTCATTCAAAGCGTAAGTAGTCCATCTAAGTTACAATCAATCTCAAACCAATCTCAGCAGCGTCAAGAACAGCAACAACAGCAACAGCAACAACAAAAGCAGCAGCAACAGCCACAGCAACAGCAGCAACAACAACAGCAGTTTCAAGATCAGCACAAGCAAATAACTTTGATGACAACAACCACCACATACACTGAGTTCGTCGAAATGGTATCCGTGGACTGTGTGATGGTCAAACCCGAATTGCAGCCCGATCCATCGACCGAAGAGTTTATAGTCACAGAGATAGCAGCCGAAGAGGAGCTGCCGGCTAAGGTGGAGGCGTCAACATCAACATCACCACCACCACCACCATTAACAACAACATATACAAAATTGAAGCCACAATCACCGCAAGGAAGAGAGAAGGGCGGCCGGAAGATGCGCGGCGGAAGGGCCAAGGCTGTGGCCTATGGTTCCACCATAATTACAATGATATCCACCCTAAAGCCCTCGCCGGAAGTGCCGGCCACTAAGACCGTGCATCGGACAACGTTGAGATCCTTGGCCTCGGCGTCGGCCGCCTCAGCAGCGGGCCTAATGTCGCCATCGCCCACGGTTTCGGTGTTGAATGAGTGCAAGGTTTTGCAGCGGCGCGTAAGTGAAGAAGAGTCTCGAAAGTTTCCAGAATTTGGATAGTTTTTGGTTAAGCTTTAAACTCCTAGGAATCAGATTTGCCAAGAAATGGCAATTTTTGGGAGTATTTTGCCGGAAAACTATCCAAAAACTGATCACCTACCCGAGCTATGTCTTCAACTTCGTTTTGTATCGTCTATCAACATGTTGCTTGTGTGTGTTTTGTCCCTCTGCTTCGTCGTCGTAGTTTGTTTTGCTTGTTATATTGTCTAGAATGTGTACATATCCATCTTGTAGCAATTAATTAACTCGTATATATATTGATTGTATTCAACAGTTGGGCCTGCCGCCAGATCTACAGCTTGAATTTGTTAACGGCGGACATGGCATCAAGAATCCGCTGGCCGTGGAGAATGCTCATGGTGGCCATCACCGTATACGCAACATTGATTGCATTGATGATCTCAGCAAGCATGGCCACCACTCTCAGCAGCAGCAACAGCAACAGCAGCAGCAGCAGCAACATCCACAGCTGGGCTCGCCGCAGCAGCAGCAGCAGCAAAGTCTGCAGCAGCAGCAACAATCTCTACAACAGCAGCAATCCCTTCAGCAGCAGCAGCATCATCATCATCACCATCAGCATCATAGCAACAGCAGCGCCAGCAGCAATGCCAGCAGTCATGGCTCCGCGGAGGCTCTATGCCTGGGCTCCTCGAATTCTGGTGGCGGTGGCGGAGGAGCTGCCGATGAGTCGAATGGTAACAACAAGTTCGTCTGCCGTGTGTGCATGAAGACGTTCTCGCTGCAGAGGCTTTTGAATCGGCACATGAAATGCCATTCGGATATCAAGCGTTACCTGTGCACCTTCTGTGGCAAGGGCTTCAATGACACCTTCGACCTCAAGCGGCACACACGCACCCATACGGGTGTGCGGCCCTACAAGTGTAATCTCTGTGAGAAGAGTTTCACGCAGCGTTGTTCGTTGGAATCGCATTGCCAGAAGGTGCACAGTGTGCAGCATCAGTATGCGTATAAGGAGCGCAGGGCCAAGGTGAGCATGGAGAGAGAAGGACTTTCGAGTTTGATTTACAAAACTAACACTTGATATTTTTTTGTTTAACAGATGTACGTGTGCGAGGAGTGCGGCCACACCACCTGTGAACCGGAGGTGCATTATCTGCATTTGAAGAACAACCATCCCTTCTCGCCGGCGCTGCTCAAGTTCTACGACAAGCGACACTTTAAGTTCACCAACTCGCAGTTTGCCAACAATCTGCTCGGTCAGCTGCCCATGCCTGTTCACAATTAGGGGGCATGGAGGAGATAATACGATATGATGGATCAAGGATCAAGGAATAATAACCAACTTTTGTTTTTAAACACAATGTGACTTTGAAGTTTTTTGAAAACTGAAACTGCCGCCGTGGATGGAAAACGGAATGGAATTTTTGGAGATTAATGTATATTTTTCTGCTTTAGCTTGTAAGGCTATTAATAGTTGTTAGTCCTAAGCTATACTCACTCACTCACTCACTTACTTACTTTGCTGTGCAAAAAGACCCTTCACCCTCACCAACAACTACAACAACCACAACAACACACCACACACTTGAACCTTAAGTTTAAAGTTTTGATGATAGCTTGATAGTTTTTCTAGTTAAATCTTGAACTTTTCGTATGATTTTTTTATTTTTTTTTTAGTCAAAAAGTTTATGCTTAGATTTACAAATATATATACATAGATATATATAAATATATATTGAAGCTGCTTTGAGCATTAAATATTAATGAATAATGTATTAGTTGTTAAGAGCTACCAAACCGAACAAGCAGCAAACGTTTGCATTTATTTTCTCCCTAACAAAACGAAGAAAAAGGCAAGAAGAAGAAATCCCTTTTGGAATATATACTTTATATATATATAGAAACATACATACGCATAAATATTTATTACAAATCATTGTAAAGAGAGAGGCAAAAACATTCGAATTAACTTTGAACCTAATAACATAGCTATACTCCCTAGATCTATAAGCTATATATTGATCAAAAGAAAAAAACACATGTAAACTAAAGCTGTTTATAAACACTGAAGTCAAAATCATACTTATATAAACATTATCATATATCTTATGGAAAAAGAAAAGCAAACAGAACACACGTTAAACTGTGGTGAACAAAAAAAAAGTGAAATGAAAACGAAAAGTGAGCGAGAATATTACAATTAACTTGAATAAATATATATATATATATTATCTAAGCATTAAATCGTAGTACTTAAGGCGTAGACCACCAATTGTACTGATCTATAAAGTGAACAAAACGAACATATATTATTTAAGCTTAAGGTTCTTGTAAGTCGAAATAACCTTATGGATTCGAATTTGAGTTTTTGATTTCAGTTTTTTATGATTTTTTCAAATTGATAAAACTCTTGTAATTAATAAGCTGCATTAAAATTGTTCTGTTCTGTTTATTTTTTACATAAGAAAACTTAGTTTAAAGCTGCATTTTTTTTTGTACTTTACTTTTTAATTTGTTGTAAGCAACAACGGGTTTTTTGTGCAATCGCTTGGTGTTGGTTAAATGGAACAATAAGTGTAAGAGAGATATATATATAAAGAGAAAGCAGGATGGAAAATGGGAGGCTGTGCACTGCGGCGCCCAAGCCCACCGCCCGCTGTACAGCCTCCTCTTGGGGGATGGGATTCGCTAAGGATTCCTTCAATCCCTCCCCTCTTGAAGGAAAAAAACAAACCTTAGTTATAACTAGACAACTTTTCACTCTCACAACAACACACACCACACACACACACATATATATAAATATCAGACTAGCACACACACACAAACACAACATTTAACTAGATTAAGTTAGTTAGATTAGGCGAAAATTTCACTCGAATGAAACAAAAAGGAAATTTTGATTTATAAAGAAATCTCATACTTCCATATGAAAAATTAGACCCTCTTTTTTTTGTTTTGGTTTTCCAAAACCCATTTTTAACGAATTTTTGCACACCCAAAACGAAAAATTTAACAATAATTAAACCCACACTTGAAGTAAATGAATAAATATATATATATTTAATATATAAAAAGAAATCTGAAATGAATGCAAGATTTATTTAGTTGTTAGCGAAGCAGTTTTTTTTAAACTATCCAATATGTATACTATAAATATATATATGAGAAGCGAATTAATTAATAAACAATAAATATGAAAAATAAACGATATGGTTATTGTTTTTATTATGAATTTCTATTCCAGGAAACTAAAAAATTTTATGAAGAATCGAAATATTTTTTACAAAATTAAAAGAATTCTATATCATATCGCTGTCATAGGAATGAATTAATGAACATTAAGTAACTATGATCAGTAAGTAAATATGATCAGTAAGTATGTATGATCTATAATTAACTTTGAGCAATAATTAACTCTGAACACTAAGTAACTATGATCAGTAATTAACTATGATTAGGAAGTATCAATAAACATTAAGTAACTATGATCAGTAATTAACTATGATCAGAAAGTATCAATAAACATTAAGTAACTATGATCAGTAAGTAAATATGATCAGTATGTATAAATGTCACTAACTTTGAACACTAGTAAACAATGACTTGCAACTTTTTTAACACAACACATTTCTAAGACTTGGCCGGCAGCAGTCACTTCGTTCCGGGGATGTTAGAACAAGTTGGGAATCATAAGCACTGATGTGCGAGATTTGTCTTGGAAAAAATTTAAGCTATGAAAATGAAACTATGAAGTTATTCTTTTATATAATTCTACTAGTATATAAGTCGGAGCCTAGCGAATCGGTGGATCATATATATACATATATATAGCTGCTATAGGAACAATCAGACGATTTATAGGACTACGATCAGTAATTACCTATGACCAGTAATTAACTTTGAGCAGTTAGAAGCTATGAGCAGTAAGTATCTATGAACATTAATTAAGTATGATCAGTAAGTATCTATGACCAGTAAGTAACTCTGATCAGTAAGTATCTAGCACCAGTAAGTATGTATGTATGATCACTTACTAACTTTGAGCACTAATAAACAATGACTTGCAACTTTTGTAACACAACACGTATCTAAGACGTGGCCGGCAGCAGTCACTTCGTTCCGGGGATGTTAGAACAAGTTGGGAATCATAAGCACTGATGTGCAAGATTTGTTTTGGAACAAATTTAAGCTATTTTAATGAAACTATGGAGTTATTCTTCTATATAATTTTACTAGTATATAAGTTAAGACAATGCGAATCGGTGGACTATATATATACATATATATATATACATATATATATATATACAAAAGCAGGCATTACTTTATTGTTTTTTAATCTAAATATATATATAATTTATATTTAATTAAGTCCTAGTGATCGAATTTCAATCTGTAAGGGTATAGAAACTCCGGCGTGCCGAAGTTTAGCTTCCTTTCTTGTTAAAATTTGATTTGTCAAATAAAATGTGAAGGTTATTTACCTGATTACCTTGATTAAAAAATTGTATTATAATTTTAGTCAAAAGCTTAAAAGAATGTGAAGGAGTTTTTCCGACCCTATAAATCATATATATTCTTGATCAGCATGAAAAACTGAATCGATTAAGCCATCTTTGGAAGAAATAATAATGTAAAAATTTTTTCATAATTTTTTAAGGGGTAAAATCGCTAAAGTTGTCAAAAAAATCGATAAAAATTTAAATGTTTTTAAATTTGAAATAAAGTAAGCAGATTTGTTAACATTATAAAAACTAACATAGGGCAGCTTTCCGATTTAAAATTACTGTTTTTTTGGCTTAGTTATGAGTTTTTTAAACTTTTTTTTTATCAAAAAAGTTGTCATATAAAAACATAGGTAAAAAATTGATTAAAAAATTGTATTATAATTTTAGTCAAAACCTTAAAATTACGTGAAGGAGCTATTTCCGACCCTATAAATCATATATATTCTTGATCAGCATGAGCAGCCGATTCGATGTAGCTTTGTTTGGAAGAAACAGATTTTTTTAATTTTTTCAGAATTTTTAAAGGGGTTTTTTCATTGAAATTAAACAAAAAAATTTATAAAAAATTAAATTTTTAAAAATTTAAATTGAGTAGGCAGATTTTTAACATACAAAAAACTAACATGGGACAGCATTCCGAATTAAAATTAATGCATTTTGGTTTAGTTATGGGACTTTTAAATTTTGATTTGTTAAATAAATAAATAAATAAATAAATATTAAATATATTAATATCGATTTAAAGAATGTTAATATTTTATATTTAGTTAAGATACGATCCTATAATTCAATAATAAATTAAAGAAAACACAGCTCCATTTTTGGTTTATTTTCAAATATTTTTATTTTATTTATTTCGCTAGTTTCTTTATGTTTTTGTCCTTCATTTTTATGTTCAGTGTTTTTTTTTAAGGGTTTCATTTAGTTTTACAATTTTTTGTTCGGATTTTGTTCCATTTTTTTTTGTGTGGATCTTGTTGATTTTATTGTTAGGTTTTTTTTCTTTTGTGATTTGTTTTAATTTATTTTTGTTTTTTTTTTACATTAATTACTGAAATACACACACAGACACGGAATTACAATAAAAACTAGATTGTTTTTGGTTTCTTTTCGGTTTAATGCATTTCCTCTTCTTCGGTTTTCATTTATGTTTTCCACTTTCCTTCCGTTCCTCCCTGTTATTATCATGAATTTGAATATATGTGTTTTATTTTATTTTGTTTTTTTTTGGTTGTTCATTATTTTATCTTTCCATATTTCGAGTAGTTTTTATTGGCTTTGCTTTTACTACTTCGATTTTTATTTTTTATTAGTTAAACTAAATTCTTTAAAATTTCCACTATTAATTCAAAACGAAAAAGGAAAAGAAGGGTGGGGGAAAACAGGGAAAGTAACGTTATATGATTTTCGATTTTTCTCTTTTAATTTAATTTTATTTTTTGCAAGATGTTATGTATCTTTCTTTAATATGTTGAGCAAATTGCGCCAATTCTTCATTTGTTTTTCTTCTCTTTAATTTTTAATGTGTAATTTCCGATTTACATTTATATATATATATATTAGATGCCATACACGCATATAGATATTTTATACAGATAGTTGTATACTTTATCTGATATGAACCAACCACCCGCCATTGTCGGGGAATTAAATGAAATCGAAATCTGTAAAATAATAATATAAATGAATAAAACAAAATGTTTACTCTGACAAAATATATATATTTTTCATTTGTTTTGTTGGTGTATTTCGTGTGTTAAATTATAAAGTAAAAGATCCATTAAATGTTTACTATTTAAATGAGAAATTAAAATGGTTAATTAAATTAAGCACTAAGATTAAATCGTTTAAACGTATAGATTAAAATTTAATAATTTTTAATGTACGACATTCTTCTTTTTTTTTTGCTTTTGTTGGTTTGTTGTTTTTGTTTTTTTTTTTATACACAAAACTAAGAGTAATAAAAAATATATAGATATACATACAAAGTGCGTGGATTTTCAACGCATGACGATGAGATGACATAGAACCCATGGACGTGTTGGAAAATTGTTGAAATTTCCCTTAAAAGTCACCAACAGTACTCCTTTTTTTGTATTTATTTATTATTAAATATTTAAAATGATTGTGCACTTGGCGCGTCCAGGGGCATTATGTCATGGCACCAATAAAAAATAAGAAAACAT